CGGCGGCGGCGGCGGCTGCGACTCCCCTCACTTTCAAGCGCCTTGTATGCATATTGCGGTAATAATAAGGGGGGCTCCTCTCTGCTGGGGAGAAAGTAATACTCTTCTTGTTGCTCTTTCAGCTCGCGCGCCGGGACTGTCTCCTCCTCTGGGCGGCGCGTGGCGGCCCGAGCGGCACATCCGTCACTCGCGCCCCGTCGCGCTCGGACAGGCGGAGCATGATCCAATTGTTTCGTTCGGGTGATCCCCGCATAGATCCTCTTACGGATGGACGGGGGGAGGCTGCCGGCTGGCGCTGCCTCTTCAGAGCGGCAGTCGGGTCGGGGCCTGTGGTGGCCGGGGCCGGCATGAAAGTTGTCCGTGAACGGCTGTCTTCCAGTCTTCAAAAGGAATGGGGCAATACGTAGTAGTTGTAGTAGTAGTGGCCTGGCGCCGCTGCTCCTTGACCATCTCCAAAGAAAATGGCAAACAAATTGAGGAGCTTCATTGGCGCCTTCCGAGTCTGCCCAGCCGTGGAGCGGTGGATAGGAGAGGAGCGGAGGGAAGAAATGGTGCAGCCTTGCGCAGGCTTGAGTCCTGTTAGGAGCATAATAACCCCGACGCGGTTGCAAGGCTCCTATGGGACCATCACCAAAGGAAAAGAAAATGCGAAAGAAGTTAAACACGTCGATTACCTCTTTACGACTTTACGGATAGGCAGCCCCGAGCAGCTGTTCGGGCGCCCGCTAACGGTGAGGCCGGGTCCGGGAGGTGATGGTGACCGGCTATCAACCTGATCGGCGACTCGGTCCACGCGGCGGCGACCCGCCCCATCCGCCCGCGGTGGTGTGCCACGCCGCCCAGGCCACCACCGATGACCCCCTATTAGCAGGCACCAGACGCGAACGCGAACACGGCGGCAGCGGCAAGGTTCAGAAATTTCATAATACTCAAGTCTCTGTGCCTCTGCACCGAGAGAAATGATTAGCAACGGCAACCATCTGATGGTCGGCTCAGGGAGCACCATAAAATATGGTTTAGACAACAGTGATAACGTGATGAAAACCATATTTTTGGTTTTCACTACCACGGTAAGGTTGCATCAGCCATATTTTATGGTGCTCCCTGAGCCAACCGTATGGTGGTTGCCATTGCTAATCATTTCTCTGGGTGTGCA